AAGAAAAAAAAAAGAAAATGAATGTATCACGAATACTTGAAATTAGGAAGCAGGGCTAGATCAGGTGTGAAACAACTAATTTCAGTCAAATTAGTTAATCATTTAGGTCATTTGCCTTAGGTGTCTAAACTCTGACTTCTATAGCTGGAGGTATAGTGGACAGTAAAACAAAATGTAAACTTCCCTTTCTGGTATGCATGACAGTAAGTGCACACAGCATCAAAAGGTGTAAACCCTGCTTGCACTCACCTTCCAATGTTCCACACTTTCGCTTGGAAGAATGTAACTAGACTAATTACTGTATTTATTAATAAAAAAGCATGTGACTCAAGCATAATTGGTTATTCCAGTAAGTGACCACTTGATTGCTTCATGTTTGGAAAAGCAATTTCTTAGCCCTTGCTTTGTTGCAGCTTCATAAAGATGTGTAAGCGATTAAGACTATTTGTTTTTCATGGAAAAAAAATGCAGTGTGCAAATCCAGCCACGAACTCCTCCCTCAAAATCACTCTACAGTTAAAGATTACATACTACCTGTGCACTAAAGGGGAAAAATTATATATATATATTTAAATATGTGAGAGCTACTACTTTACAGAGACAGGAAATTTTTAAAAAACGTCTATGAAAAGCAAGGAGAGCTTTGTCACTGACAAATTGATCGAGGATACTGCCAGCTAGCAAGTTATAAAATAGTAGGCTCTGTTTTGACAAAGAATGTCATGAATCTTTAGATCATAATATTTTTCAAGGCAACCCTAAAACAATATGTTTAAATGAAAAGGAACATTCTGCCCCATATTTCTTGACAGAATTAAAAACGACAGCATGGCACGTTTGGTTGATCGTCTCCAAAACCAAGATGATTAGAAACTTGATTTCTTTCCATGTGGAAGTAAGAAAAATGATGACACAAGGCTACTCAGCAGCTGTGAGAAACTGCAGAATGTGTGGCAGTGAGACAAGTGATCAGTCTTGAGCTGGATCACATAATTACACCATAAAAGGTGACAAGATTGGATAGGTTACAGTAATTAAAGTGATGAAGGGTGCTCATTCATCCCCTGCATGGCTCCCAGGAGAGTCACACCCAAGTGCTGTTGTTGCAGTGAATGAGGCCCCATGTCCTCTTCAGAGTACAAATGTCTCGTGCTTGTCCCATGCTGGTGCTGCCAAGGGCTCTGTTGCTCCACCCACTCTGCTGCTGAAAATACGAATGCAAGTCTCAAAGCCCGCTGGAGGCTGTTGCTTGCACTTATTGCCCACAGTTTCTCTCCTGTGCTCTTACTGTCAAGGAATGTTCATGCTCCCCCCTCATGCAGAGACCTGTGCTCATCATTGCACAGTGCCACTGCCACAGTGTCAGACCAGCCAGGATATAGGCAGCAGAGTAAGTAGTTAAGCTGCTTATTCCCTCTGATTTTTTTTTGCTATTTTATTTTTACTTCATGTTTCCCTTGAAGTAATGAAACATACCTTTTAAAGTTATTGCATCCTCTGAGTTACTTGCTCAGAAACTCCTGAAAAAAGTTTTCCAAAACATCCTTGCTCCTGCACTGGTTTGCATTTTCACACCTGGAAAGGGCTGCTTGCAGTAAGCAAGAAGGGGATTCTAGCATGATCTTCAGTTGAACCAAGGCTTGGGCAGACTTTGAGTCTTTTTGTGAATTCTCAGAAGCTGCCAGGAGACCTGGAAGTCAGTCCATCTTCAGCAGGTTCAGTGGTATGCAGACATTAATAGAAGATGGTATTGTATAGGCTGAAATGTCTCTGTGCAGTATACTGTGTCCATTAAGTGCTCTACATAATCAGAATAATACGATTGTGCCTCAAGGAATTTGCTGGACTTCCTAAGCCATGCCATAGCTATGCAGCAGCACTAACTTTGCTATAGCCTAACAATTTTCAACATGGGAGGCTCCCCATAAGTTACACACAGTGGTTAAATCCAGCCACATCTCAGGCTTCTGTCTGTCTCCTTTTCTGATTTTGCACGCAGCCATCAGGCACCCTTCTGGTAGAAGGCAGCACCTGGATGCTCAGGGATCAGTACCCAGCATATCTTGTTCTCAGTTTTATCCTACATATAGATGATATTATGTGCCTCACACCAAAGCAAATGCAAAATGTGTGCCCCCTATACAAAGACTGCTGGGAGGCTGCTGCATCTGCAAGCCATCTTCCTGCTAAATTATGAGATTAACATACCTCTCAAAGTCTAGAACTGTTCTTGTGCTTTGTGATTTGTGACCTCGGGTCCTCTCCTCTTCATTATGCTTTGTGACTCCCCCCATATTCGCCTACACAGGCAGCAAAGAAAGTGCTTCAAGTTCCTAAAGAACAGGAACCTTTCTGTTAGCTGTACAAAAGCAAGGCTGCTCCACTAAGCTCAAATTTAAACCTCGCAGCGTAAATTAGGGTTCTTTCTTCTTCTTTTTTTTTTTTAATCCCTAGAACAAATGTATTAAACAAGATGCTTTTGAAAGGCAGTGCATGTACAGAGCCATGATTGCAAGATAAATTTACAGAAACGCTCCGTGCCCCTTCTTCCTCTGGTCTCTACCCCAAAACAAATCACCAGCTTCACTCCAGCCCAGAGTACACCTGAGGTCTGATCATGCCTCAAGTGTGCTTAGAAGTAGCTTTTTCAGTGTGTGTTAGCTACAAGTATTTAACAATACATAACAAGTAAAGGTAAGAAGGTAAATATGTGAAGCTATGGATTGTCAAAGTGTATTAATTTAACTTATGCATATCTCTATCATACTGACCAGCCACCTTCTGGATATTTTGAGCCAATTTTCTCTTAAAGTCCCACGTGACCCATCTTGAGGCTGGATATCTGAGGGTGCTCATTTACAGATGGTCACACACTGAAGTTGTACAGTCTATGAGTGAGTTACACTATATAGTGTAGGTAACTCATGTAATATGATTTGCAGTAATCACCCAAAAAACTCATAGATTCAGAAAAATAAATGGAAAGGCATGTGCTCATGCTAATAAGTAGTCTGCCTACGTCACTGAGTGAATGCCAAATTAAGCCAGTGTTAATGACCAAAATGAGCTGCACTAAGCTCTCAGAAGTGATCTGCCAGGGAGTTTTCATGTTGTAAAACACCATTGAGTGGCATCCTCACAAGGGGTCAGTTTGGCTTCACTTTTATCTTCTTTCTGAATAATGGGGAGTTATTTCTCCATAGCCTGTAGGACTCTACACTTGCCATTGTTGGACCTCATCAGGTTTCTCTCTGTCAAGCTCTCCAGCTTTCTGGTGTGTCAGCCACTCCTCCTAGCTTTGTATCATCAGCAAATTTGCTGAAGGTGGACTCTAACCCTCATCCAGGTCATTGCTTTGCTGTAGCCTGTTTATTTAAAAGCTGGGTTTTGTTCTCCTTCTTACAAAGGAAGATTTGAAAAAGTGTACATAAACCAACAGTTCAGTGATGTGATCGGAGTTACACAAGTCCTTGAATAATAGCTTTGAGAGCTATGGACCACTTCATTCATCTTAATGATTATTTAATCTTAGGAGCTGACAGTAAGTTCCTTGCCTATAGCACACTGAGAACTGACAGAGAGAGGGCATGATAAAGTAATGTGAATTTAATAGCAAAATAAATAATACAGAAGCTTCTTCAATAATTGCATAATTCATTATCCTCCTGAAGTTGATAGGAAACTCAGGGACAGTTGGAAGGGCTTCTAACACCTTCTGGCAGATGTGCAGAGTTTCCACCCTAGCACTTTATCCACTTGCTGCAGGCACCATGTGCCCATGGAGCTCAGGGCCATGAGAAGACTGAGCAGATGGGCTGCATCACCACAGCACAGCAATCTCCTTCTGCAGTCATGAAAGGAAAGCAAACATCTCTCCCAGGTATTTTACAGCCCCACATGACCAATTGTTTTACTTGAAATTGCTGAAATAAAAATAACCATGAAGCAAATTGTCCCTGGCTGTTGGTTCCACAGAGTACTGCAGGACTCCAGCTTCCAGGAAGGAGCTGGTACCACCCTGTGAGCCTTCTGGAGGCCTGCGATGGGTGTGGGTCTCTTTAGCCTTCAAAGGGTCTCCCCTGCCTGCTCCAGTTCCCCCAGCTCTGCTGAGAGATCAGCACCAGCGCTGTTATTCGCAAACGTGGTGGCAGAGGTTTGTGCCTGGTAAAATTGTACAAAATCACCAGATCTGGCGTATGGCAGTCCTGCGGCATTGGCCTGCAGGACTTCTTTCCCAATACTTACCATGATCTTTATCAAATACAATTGAAACTAAAACGTGGACACATAATAAAGGAATATATTCCAGTCCTCAGCCAGTTGGTGCAAAGCAGGGTGATTCCCACTGCCAAACCGTGCAGGGCTGCCTGCCGCCTGCTGAATACAGAACAGCCATCATATTGCTACAAAGCTTTTCAATAACCACAACTCTTTCAAAAGTGATACATTTTGCAACACCTCTATTGTGCCCTTTCTTTCCACTGTAGGTTCTGAAACAACAGTTGCTGTTGGGGAACACTTTCTATGTATTTTCTATGAACATTTTTTTTTTTTTTTTTAAACCAGTTCTGCGTTGTTTTTAATTCAGTCTGGAAGCTGTTGCTGAGTTCTACTTTCTCGCTCCTTCCTCTCCATGATCGGCTCCATGCGTACTGACCCATTCCTGGCAGCCTGTGGAGCACTCCCAAGGACGGGCATCCTGAAACGCCGCCTAATAACCACGGCTTGTCTCTGGGACTCACGAGCTAATCACGCGCTCTGATTTACCACACCAGTGACCACCCAGCGCTGTGCATCCCCGGACCCGTGGCGCACAGCCTGAATAATCCCGGGTGAGCCGCTCGGAGCGCTGGCACCCCTCGGCGCACGGCTCCCCTCGCACACCCCTGCGCCGACCCCGAGGTCCCGGCTCGGCGTTACCCGGCGCTGCCGGAGCTGAGCTGGGAGCGGCGGGTCGGGAGGGGGTGGCGGGAGGAGGAGGCGCCGGGCGCAGCAGCCCAATGGGAGCGGCGGTGCTTCCAGTCCTCCCGCTTCCTCTCCCCACCCCCGGGCCGGGCGGGCGGCAACGCTGCACCCGGCGGGCAGAGCGCGGCCCCTTCTCCGCCTCCGCGGCAACACCTGCGGGGAGGGGGATGCCGTTGGGCGGCCGCCCCCCTGGGCTGGCAGGCGGGCCGGGCCCGGGGCCGCCCATTCGAGAGCGAGAGGAAGAGAAAGGAGCGGGAGGAGAGCGGGGAAGTTGTGTCTCGCCGGGAGCCGGAGCCATGAGCCCCGCCGGGGGGGCGCGGGCCGCCCCCTCGTTGCTGTTCTCGTTGCTGTTGGCGGCCTCAGCCCCGCTCTGGCTACGAGCGGAGAAGATGGGTGAGTGCGGGCGGAGCGGGCGGGCGGCTTGGGGGAGTCCCCGTGACCGCGGCTCGGAGCTCGAGCTGCGCCGGGGCTGCGTGGAGCCGACCTGGTTAATCCCCGACGGGTTTATCCGCGTGTCTGAGTAGCTGCGGGATTACAGCGGTACCCAGCCTTACGATGAGAGTATCTCACTGCTTTCTTAATCTTTAGTTAATTAGGGCGGTGGGGTCGCTTGGTTGATTTGAAGTCACGCGAGCGGAGGAAAGTCCCCGGCAAGTTGTGAGTACGGGGCTGGAAGCGGCTCCTGCCGACACCTGGGCGCCCTCTGCCGCCCCGGCCACGCTCCGCCCCGCCCCGGTCGGCGGTGTGGGGCCGCGGGGTGCCCGGGGCGGTCGCCCCTTCCCGCATCTGGATGCAGGCAGAGCCGCTCAGTGCTGCCCTGCTGAGAGCAGCAGCCCGCTCCGGCCGAAACGAAGTTTCATAGGAGTTTTAGGGGGACCTTGCCATCTCGCGGTGCTGCAGTTTGATGAAAAGAGCATATGGGAGCTATGCTGCTTAGCCTGTGTTTTTATGCATCTCGCTGTTAAGCTTTCTGTGTGAGGAATTCTGCTGAGGAATTGTGATCTTATGGCCGTGGAATTGCCCAGCCTAATGCATCCATCCTAAAGGTGTTCGCTGACAGCTTTTGCTAATGTAGTGCTGGAAGCTGGGCACTGTGGTGGTCTTGAAGTGCCTTTCAGGTCAATGGATAGTCCCCATATCCATGTTCCTGCTGAGCTGCAAGTTCCCAGCCCCAATGCTGTGGGTTAGTGTCATAGCCAGGCAGAAGTACTTTGGCAGGTTAAAGTCATTTTTTTTATAACATCGTAGTAATGGAAATTTGTGGTATGGGTCTCATTGTGGGGAAGATTTGGTAAGAATTGTGTATGAGATTTGGTATGGCCTTTCTTAGCAGCTTCATTCAAGAGCTTTTCTTTCCTTTTTCTTGAAACTTTGCTTTTCTCTCTCCTCCATGTTTCCTAATTTTGAGACTCTAACTTGATATGCTCCATGGAAAAGATAAAACATTATTTCTTTCAAATCCCCTCTTTCCATCATTGTTTATTTATTTTGTCACTTTTTGTCACCAATGTTTTGTTGTCACGGTCTCACAAAGTTGACGGAAGCAGTGACTTTTGCAGGGATTTCTGTGTGTTTCAATGCACGCAGTGGTGCTAAGTTTTAATTAAACATGACTCCAATTCCTTGTCTGTATTCCAAAACTGAGTGCTAATGGCACTTACATTGTACTTACATTCTTCCATCAAGCAAACAGCATAGAAGCATGAAGAAATAATATATTTTCCTTGCTCGTCTTTGGGACAAACTCAAATTCACAGGAAAGTCAGCCAAGCATTTAGAAAGGGAAATACTTGGTTGAAATCTCTTCCCTTCCTCCCCAGGGGGCGGTTATTCTATTTGTTTGTTTATTGATATTGTCCCATAAATTCAGAGCTAAGTGTCCTGCAGGAACACCGGTGGAGAAAGAAGATAAGGATAAGTAGATACAAGCTTCCTGTCACACGAGCTTCTTGACTTAAAAGTTGTGATGGAATGAGAAGTGATGGAGTGAATTGGGCTCAAGCTGCAGCTAATTCTGAGTCTTGTCACCACTGGTATGTCCCACCAGCTGGCTCACAGGAAGATGGACAGGTTTAAATACATTGATTTAAAAATACTCTCAAAAAAAAAAAAAAAAAAAAAAAAAAAAAAAAAGCGTGGCTTTCTGTCTTATGAGCTGGCTGGCTGTGCACTCTGCTGTTCTCACAACCAGCTTGCCTTCATTTTCAGTCTATCTCAAGGGATGCTACAGAACAAGGATGAGGCTGCCATTGTATCGTCTATCAAATCAGAGAAAGGTCATCTTTCCACTGTGCTATTTATTGAGTCATAGCATAGCTTGTATTGAGGTGACTGTGCAGAGCCTGGGTAGCAGCTCTTGTAAGTCTGTTGAGGACATGTTGTCTGAGGACATCTATGAAACATGGCATTTTGTCGCTCACCGAATGATGACAAGGAAGTCTGAGTGGTTGGGGAACTGATTTAAATCAAAACATATCATAAGCTTAGTGGCCTCTCCTAGGGACAAATACTACATCTATGACTGTGCTCTGAGAGATAAGTAACTTGGAGATGTATATTAAAAGGGAAAGAAGAACCTTTTAATTCTGCTCTATGCTTAACTCTTCTTGTAATTTCAGTGGCCAGTTCTGGGCTGACCGCTGAAGCGTAGCCCTCATCCCCCACCTGCCCAGCCTCATACAGCCTTGCCTGTCTTGGTGGTCTTTCCCAAGGCGTCTTTCCAGCAGGTCATGGCCAAGGCAGACCTGAACAAATTACCTTTGCTTCTCACCATTCTCCAGTTCTTCTTCTAGTCTCACTGAGCAGGACATTGAGCAATGTAATTTTGGACAGTGGATATCTAAATCAGAGTAGAATCTGAGTCTTCCTTCTTCAGGGTTTCGAGTAATCTTCCATTGCTTTTCTTAAACCAGATTCTGGCCAGTAGGACTTCAGTCTGTGTGTTGGTTGTTTGTACAAAGAAATGTGAGGAATGGGGATTTCACCCTATTAAGTACGAGACTGAATTTGTCACTCTCGCTATAACTCATTTTCTTTTCACTTCAAATGAAGCACAGCAGAGAAACAAATTAGATTTGCAGATCAGCATCCAAATGTGAACTTTGCCTGCGTTATATCTGGGTCTGCTGACAGTTGCACCCAATGCCCAGATTTTTCTCTTAAGTAGGAAGAATTTATGAGCAGTAGACCCTTAAACATTTTGGGGCAAGGCTGTTGTTTAGTGTGATAACAGCATATGCAGTAATGAGAGAAAGTGCCTGTTCTCAGGGGCTTGCACAGAACACATACTGGGGAATATTGGTGTGATAAAGCTAATCCAGCCTGTGTACCCATTCCCAGCAGTTTGCAATGCAGATAGAGATGAATCTTGCACGCACACTCCACATCCTCCACAGTTTCTGAATATAACCAATTGGTAGTTTTTTCAGTTTGTTTGCATTTTGTCCTTATGTCTGCTTCCTTCCTTGGCTCCTTTAGCGTTGTGTTGTGAGTGCTGACTGGAATTGCTAAAGACAGAGGCAACAGTTTTCCAGTTGCACTTGATAAGCACAGTGTATACCCACCACATGAGAACTGCCATGTTTTCAGTTGCACAGACTTTGCTATAAATAGCTCTAAGCCCTTTATACGTACTTCTCTTTAGGTTAGCAGAGGATGTATTTCAAATGAAATCAGTGACAGGGAGGCCGCTGGGAGCCTCACTGACAAAGGAGGGAGAAAAAGATGCCTTGGAAAAGCTCTTTCTTGAGTTATCTGCACATTCATGTAATGTGAATGGTATTTCATACAAATTATTTGTTCATTAGCTTATGTAAAAATACATTCACTTATATTTGTCCAGGCCTTGTCACCCTATTGGATTACACATAGAAATACCTAAAATGCCCTCTCAAAGCTGTTTTCTATACCAGAAGTGCTACAGCATGGAAGGCCCATCTGAGATATCCCACTGTGCAGAGAAGTGTGATCCTAAGCAATGGTGTGTGCTGAGCTCCTCGGCACAGACAGAGCCGAGGTGTGGGGCTGGCTGTACCATATCCGAGGCGTGCTCCTGTGGCATGTGCTCATCAACACATGGGTTTTCACCATCTGTTAAGAATAAAACAAGCCAGATAGAATCAAAATAAAATCCTTTTGACTGGATTTGGTGGAATGGTCTTGTCTCCCAACTACATGCAGTAAAAAAAAAAAAAAAAAAATTAAAAAAAATGAACATCAGTACATAGAAATAACCACACAGCTTCCCCAGGAGGTTCAATTAGCGTTACCACAGCGATTAGGGAACTGTAAACTGGGACAATATACTGGTGAAGTTAAATAAATGATAAAAACGAAAACAGCAGCTTGACTAGTTTTAAGAGTATATAGGTATCTCTGGTTTTGCTTTCAGAATAAATTATGAACTAATTAAATTTCATTTTGTCTGTGAGAGCTGAAGCTGTGTTTCTGAAGTTGGCTGGATGTAGGGAGACTGCTGCTAGTTATGGATATTTTTACACTGTCTAGTTAAGCCTAGGGGCTAAGAGCATTATACGAAAGAAATATTTTGGTCCTCTGTTCCCTCTCTGCCCATCAGTTCTTTGGGCAGAACCAGGACGTGTCTCTCAGGAGTTCCCCTCCAAGAAGTGAAGGCTCAGTTTGGTGATGATGGGGCTTTCTCCCTGAGCAGCATTTACAGCCTCAGTGTCCTTGCTCATTATTTCCATTTCCCTATTGGGCTGTGGTTGCTGCCAGTGCAGTCCAGGCTCTCTTTCAGTGTAGAAGGGAGCAGACAATTATATTCAGCCCATCCTCTCTTTGCTTGTCTCCATGGGGCTCTGGTAAAGGTGCTTTCGAACCTGAAGAATGACAGGAGAAAAAATGAGGAAGGCAGAGCAGGGCAAGGGAAGAAACACAGATCCATGGCATGCTCCATAAGCAGGAGCTTTGTTTTTGTATTTCCTGTTGTGTTTGGGCTCAGGCTGCTACTACGGTTGCCGTGATTTCATCGTGCAGTTACAGGTTTGTTGTGTTATTCCTCTACCCCACATTTAGAAGAGCTCCAAACCATTGTTTCTTCCCTGGGCTGCTGCAGAGACTTTGTTTCCATCACAGTTTTGATCTGCGATGTTCAAGTTTCTGGTGCTCCCACCACAAATGTTCAACAGTATTGGATTTCAGTCTAACACTTTGACATTAAAGCTGAAGTTATGTTGATGTCATCTTCCAGATGTTCATGTCTACTGAATTAAAATTGTGCTTGTTTGTTTTATTTCATATTACAAAAACACGTGGGAAATTCTGGATGCAATCCCTCTTGCCATACAAAGGCTTGTGTGTCTTGTGAGAAATCAAACAACCCTTTTCTTCACAGTGCCATGAGGAGAAGCCTAGAAACACTGGAAATATAGGTG